AGCAGGGAGCAGCCTCCAGGGGGCGGGGGCGGCCCAGCCTGGGAGCTCGGCTGGCCGGGGCAATGAGGGCTTGGGGCAATGGGGGAGAGCAGCAAAAGTTGGCCTGAGACATGGGGAGCGCTGGGTCTGCCTGGAGGGGCGCAGCTGCCAGTGGAGGGCACCACACATCGGGCCTCAGACCAGAGCCCTAGGCGGGACTGTTTTTAATTCTATCCCGTTCCTGTTATTCAAGTGCCCGGCTTTGTTTTTTGCATTTTCATCCCCCTCCCAGCCACAAAAACCTTCGATCTCGTAAACCCCGCAAGAGAGACAGATTCCCCCATGCTGCTAAAAACCAACCAACCGACCGACAGAAACCGGTGGGTGAAGATATGATCGATACCAACGGAATTCAGACACAATTTTACCACTAAAAGAATCAAACAAATCTTGCTTGAACCAGGTACAAACACCCTGTAACTCCTGTTATCACAGAACGTGTCTGACCTGACTTGGGCCGGTGCATTTCCCCAGATTTGGAGCGAGGGAGACAAACACGGAGAGGAAAGAGAAGCTCAAACAAAATATTTTGCAATTTCCCCAGTAGGAGACTCTTGGTACATTTATGAGATTTAGTGTTTTCCAGCCAATTAACGCAGCCTGTTTTTTGCCCACCCCCAACAAAGCACAATTTACCCGCTCCCGCTGTTCTGGGGGGGGGTCCTGCAGGGTCCCAGTCCCACTATCGGGCTCCACCTGAGACCCCTCACGCCTGCTGCATTACGCTGGCTGCAGGGTCAGTCTCAGCGGCTCTTCAGCACAGGCCAAGGGTTATACAGAGTGACGGGAACGCGGGTCTGACAACACAGCCTAGGAGTCTGACCCACAAGTCCCCCCCTGCTCTAACCACTCCCCCCTCCTTCCCTAGAGCTGGGGAGAGAACCCAGGAGTCCTGGCTCCCAGCTCTAACCACTTGGATTTGAGAGCAAGACAGAAATGGTGTGTATGTGAGTGTGTGTGTGTGTGTATGTCCCTGCCAGGGCCGGCTCTGGCTTTTTTGCCGCCCCAGGCGGGGAGCGCAGCAGGGGAGGGCGCTGAGCCCGGCCGCAGCCCCGCTCTCCCCGACCGGCCAGAGCGCCGGGGGGAGGGTGGAGAGCCCGGCCGCGGCCCCGCTCTCCCTGACTGGCCAGAGTGCCGGGGGAGGGCGGCCCCGCTCTTCCCGGCCGGCCGGAGCACTGGGAGGAGGGCGGCGAGCCCGGCCACGGCCCCCGCTCTCCCCGACCAGCAGGAGCGCCGGGGGAAGGGCGGTGAGCCCGGCCGCGGCCCCGCTCTCCCCGACCAGCAGGAGCGCCGGGAGGAGGGCGGAGAGCCCGGCCGCGGCCCCGCTCTCCCCAGGTGAGCGCTGCCCCCCTCCAGGTGCCGCCCCAAGCACATGCTTGGAGGGCTGGTGCCTGGACCGGCCCTGGTCCCTGCTGCCCCCTGCTGGAGGGGACGAGCCCTGCTCTGTGTTTGCGCACTCGCGTGTGGTGCCCTCTCAGGTTATCCAAGGTCCCTGCGTTGACCCGGGGGTGCTGGGTGGAACCTGGTTACCAGAGACACTGAGCTGCTGTTCTGCTCTAGTCGTCTGTCTGTCACTGCTGCCATTGCGCACTGCTTCGAACTGGAAGCGGTAGGTGCCCTGATCGCTGGGGCTCAGCCCCACCACCCGCAGGGAGCAGTTGTGCTGCAGGTCCCCCAGATAGCGGGCGCGCCCCTTGAAGGCAGTGTGGACACGAGCCTCGTCCGAGTGATACACGATTTGATCCCCGTCCCGTGTCCAGCTCACGGAACTGACGTTCCACCCTGCGGGGTAGGTGAAGTTGCAGGGGATGGTCACGCAGGAGCCAGCCCTTCTACCAAGGGGCCCTGGTGCGAGTGTCACGTTCCACTCCTGGGCGTAGGCACCTGCCGGGGACAGGAATCACAGATCAGCTTCCCCCCACCCAACATCAGCCCATCCCCTGCCCAGCAATTAATCACCCCAGCCCCCGAATCACTCCTGCCGCCCGAGCTCTCCCATCTGTCCAGGTTGACCCCCTCCCCCGCATCTGCCCAGCCCCCCTCAGTTCAGTCCATCCTCAGCATCCTATTAATTCACCCCCTCAGTTCAGCCCCCCAAATCCACTCAGCTCAGCTCCCCCGGCCACCCCCTTCAGTCCAGCCCCCCTCAGTTCATCCCCCATTCCCCCAGCCCCCTCATCCCTCCTCACTTTAACCCCTCTCAGTTCAGGCCCCGCATATCACCCTTCAATTAAGCTACCCATGGCCGCCACAGTTCACCTCCCATCCCCCCCAAATCAGCCCCCCACCTGTCTCCCCACAGTTTGCCCCCATCTCCCCTCAATTCAATGCCCCAAATCCCCCCCTCAGTTCAGCTCCCCCCTCCCCCTCCCACAGATGGTTGTCTGGGCCTCAGGCTCCAGAGGCCCAGACTGCAGGACGAGGCCCACTGGCAAGGGGTCAGGTGCTGTCCAGGCACAAGGAGCCGGGTGCGGACGCGGGCAGGGGCCAGCTGGGCCGGAGCTGGGCGGATGGGCAGGGCAGGGAGCAGAGCTCTCCAGGCCGGCCCAGGAGACGACCCGACTCGCCGGGGCAGCGAGAAGCCCGGAGGCAGGACGTGGCGCAGGGAAAACGGCAGCCTGGGGACGAGAGCGGCTCAGGCCCTCACTGCTCAGCCCAGGGTGGCCGGAGCTAGACCAGGCTGACTCTGTCATGAGAACCAGGCGTGTTCTCCACCGGGGGGAAACCAGCAGCGAGGACCCGGCCTCTCAGGGTCAGGGTCAAGGCCAGACGCCCCCTAGGCTTGAACTGGAGCTGCTGGCGCGAGTGGCTGGGACGTCCCTGCGATGGAACCCGGTTCCGAGCCCCCTCCTGGCAGTGTAGACGCACTCCCAGGGCTGGGAAACGGTCCCCACCGGCCTCTGGGTGGCAGCGCGTCGCGTCTGTGTG